AAAAAAAAGTAGCAGAGGTATCAAAAAAATAGCATCAAATGCAGGCAGTTCCAGCCGCGAGAATAACTGTCACGTGACTATTTCGTTCAGCCTGGCAAAGCCATTCGTCCTCCTCTTTCTTGTCCTTGCCTTCTTTCTGCGTATCCTTCTTTCATGAGTTAATATACACATCCTGGCCATACTGTATCGCCCCGGAAGATGCAACGAGAGAATACCTCTGTAGCTCGCAGCGTCATCCAGGTTGCCAGAAACCCTGTAAACCGAGATAGCATCCGTTCAGTCGAAAACCTCATACAACTGCGAAGCTTCGTTGGCCGAGCAAGACTTGACCTGGACCAATCATTTCTCACCTGTTCGTTTTGTTTCCGCTATCTGAGATTGTTTATTTGCGTTTTTTTTTTTCCTTCAATCAAAACAGCACCGTTTTGCCACGACTCTCCAGTCCAAAACAGCGCCAGTTTTGCGCGACTCTGCAGGAAAATGTTCTGGACTGCTCGTTGCTGGGAGCCTCGGGCGCGTAACGTTCAGTAGCGTGGTCTATCAGGGTACGGTATCGTTGTGTGAAACACATAGGTCGGTCGTAGTTTTCCGCTGGGGAGGGGAGAGGTCGTATTTGGTCATTGGTTAGGGGTGAAGGGATCGCAGGTGGCTTTCAGAGAAATTTGCCGGCTAGAAAAAAGTTTTTGTTAGCTTTCGTGATTTTTTTTCCGGTTTCATCTACACTATATACCCCCTCCCCCTGTTATATTGAAAATGGAAGCCGGTGCTCTACCACGGGTCGCCTTTTTCGTTTTCGTGCCAGAGTTTCCACAATTTGTTCGACCACACGAATACTGAGAGATATCGATCCCTTTGGGTGGTAATACTCAGTTGTTATGCCGGAACTGCAACGGTTTGAAATATACGAGCGAGGCGAATCCAAATGAATTTGTTGATTGCTGCATCAAGAAGACCCATAAATTCTCACACATTAGTTGTCCCGCATCAACCATGCACCTGCACCCTCTAATAAGACCGGGTTCACCCGGTAAGGTGAGTTTTCTTAGCGAAAAGCTTCAACCATAGTTGTCTTGTGGTTACGAAAATCAAGTGGCTCCTAAGAAATTTTTCATGCTTTATACCATTTTGTAAGAGGGGAAGGGGTGCAAGACCCAGGGGCGCCGCTACCACTGGCGGAGCACATGGATTAAATCACTCTGAATCAATCGAACCTTCCACCCTTGTGAAGTGGGTGAACTCGTAGTCGACCTGTTTCCACTTTGCCCACTCTCACTAGAGTGGTCGTTGGTCGTTCAGGGGCGGTAGGGCTTTTTCAAAATGGTTTTTGTCCTTTGCAGAGGTCACACATTACCTGAAAGGAGAGGTTAATTTCAGCTGCGCGTTTCTAAAAATGCCGAGAAATTGTGAAAGGTTTTCTGCGAAGTGATTTTGTTCTGTTGTCCAAATCACTCGTTCACTTTTTTTGGCATTTCTATGAGCGCAATGAGGAAATGAACCTGCCATTTCTGGTCCATAAAGCTTTCTCGTATAAAGCGTCCCGGGGGAGGAAATGTGATGGCTACTGGCGCTGCTTGTCCCATGCACACCTGGGAGGTGGTGGAATTCCTTCGGAAAGCCTTCATCTTTTCACGGTTGGCTTATTTGCGCCAGAATCGTTTTGCAGGATAAAGGCACGGCCTTGTGCACCGGCTCGTCCCTGTAATTCGTCGCATAGACGAAATCATAGTCAGTATTTGGCCCTGACCACATTTGCTACCGTAATCCCAGTTGTACAGACAACGCCACTAAGAAAGGCAGCGGGCCATTCCTCTTAAACCTTGGGTACCTGCGCCGGCGATGCTCTCAAAGCTGCGCTGAGTAGCTAAACTTCGCTGGACCTTTCTAGACATGCGCTTCAGGCTTTCAAAACTTCAGGATTTTGCGCCTGTCCTTTCTCAGGGCTACAATCCCGCTCCTCTACTTTATCCACAAATTTCCGCCGACTATTCCATATACGGATTGACAAATTTAGTCCATTACAGCAGGGATGGCACATCCTCACCCTATGGCCAGAAAAACACGCGGCGGTCTATCATTAGCTGGTGCTGCTTTCCCAAATGGCTTAATTTGTTGATCGATGTTAATTGATAGGCAACGGCAAAATCTATGCCCCTACCTTCTTTCCCCTTATAAACACTATGACTAAGAAAAACACGTCCATCACATACGCCTGGTGTTTTGGCCTTGCTATCTCGTCACGCTTTAACTGCTAGAAAAGCAATTTTGTGACGGGTGAGTTTTCTTGGATTCGTTCCAAATCTAAAAATCGTTAGAAAATTTCATGAAAGCGTAGCATGTTCAATGTAGCGTCCCTTGGGTCGTGTCCTGAAACTTGCGAAAATCTCTGAAATTGGGCCTTTCCAAAGAACCCTTTAAGAACGATAGGAGGAAGATGTCGTTCAGCACGTAGGCAGCTTTCTTTCAAAACCGTCCTTTTGGGCACGGAAATTAAGTTCATTATCTTCCAAGCGGTTTTAGGTGGACTGAAAGGGAAAGGAAAATGTTGTTTGTGGCTCGACTCTCTCACACTTCCGATGAGTTAACCAAAGCTAAATGTGAACAGTCGAACGCGACTGCACCGCTTATCACGTGTGCAGACTGACAGCCAGATCCAAGACCAAGTGTCACCAGGGCCACCTAAGCCCTATATCCTTCTTTGGACATTTCACCAGCTAAGGGAGAGGGGAGGGAAGGGGAGGTGCAAATCTGATCAAGGTACAGCATCGTTGTGTGAAACATATAGGGGTCGTACTTTTCCGCTGGTGAGTGGGAGGGTCGTATTTGATCAGTGTTTGGAGAGGGGGGAGGGGTGGCTTTGAGAGAATCTGAGAGAAATTTGCCGCGTTGAAAAAAATTTTCTACGGTTGTTGACTTTTCGTGATTTTTCCTGTTTCATGTGTCCTGTAACCCCCTCCCTCAGATGCTGAGTGAAAAGTAGTAGGCTTGGGAAGGTGGAGGGGAGATCGTAACCCCGCTAACCCCTTTTTAGGTGGATGGAGAGGGGTCGTACTGCACCTTCCCAAAAGGGGATCGTACTCACAGACCGCTCACACATCACTGATGCTTATAAACCCTGAATTTGATTATTGAGAATGAGAAAACTCCTGCCAGCTCCCACAGAGCCCTTATGACCTGCTCCCAAATGTTTCTCACCTGGTACGACGCCCTTCCAATACTTCCTTTCAACCCTCCCAAATTCTCCTAACCCATGCCAGCATTTTTTCGCGAAAAATTTTTCGCATTCTTTCCTAGAAAGTGTCTCAGGGTCGGGGTCAGTCCTTGAATAAGAAGCACACTGTAAATAAGTCAGCAACTGAAAACATTTTTTTGAAGGCCAAAGCTACCCCTCCCTCCAGGTGCCATATAAGCCCCCCACCATCTCGCATCGACCTAATGCCATGCACACTGCCTGCACTTCCCTTTCCTAATTTATTGGAAAGGCTAGGTCACCTAAGGGCAGTGAAGCCGCGGTACTACTTTCTGGTCTCAACTGCTCCCCCCCCCCTTGAGAGATTTCGCACTTGTTTCCTTCATGTTTCGCTGAAGGCTTCACAAATTAGATCTACTATTGACAAAGGGCGCATCACGGTAGTTGACGTTTTGTGACGTTGAAAAACTGCACTTCAGGTGTGGCGTTTCTAGCCATGAAAAGGCCTTTTTGGAAGGCTTCCTTTGACTGCTCGTTTTCGCCATCGCGAAAGCCATGTCTTTGAAGTATTCTCGAGAAGCGTTCGTTCTCAGGACCTCCTACTCAGTCTCGTACGTACTTCACTTTCACTCGACTTCTATCCTTCCGCTTTCTATCTCCGCTTAATTTTCTGTGTACTCTCGCATGTATGAAACGTATACGTGTCCTTGCAGTGATATGCTTGATGTGAAGGTGTTGACTCCATTGTTCCGGCGTCAGCCACAAGACGAGGTGAACGACCATTTTTCGGCTTCATAAAGCCCTCACTGGTGTGGCCATTGAGTTCAAAAATACTTCTGGTGAAAAACTATGAGCTTACGTCAGTTGAACCCGCTGCGTGTCACGCACGGCGAAGCGGCGAATTCTCGAAGCTAAAATGACGTCTTCAACCAGGATGCGAGCCAGGAGATCAGAGTTGCGAAAGCGGTGTCGCGTGCGCGGCATTCGCACCAGGATCCAATTGATTTGGCGCGATAGTGCTAGAGTATGCCGAGGCAACTAGCAAGAAAATACAATTTGCCGGGCTAGTTTCCCCAGCCGTCACAATTTGGATCTCCTGGCTACCGCCGACAATTTGGCCACGATACAAGAGTCTGCTGCCGCGGAATCTTTCAGGGAGTTATGGCGCCGCGCAGTTTTGCTGCGTGCGACGCTTGGCGAGTACAACTGATACACGTCCCTTAGCAGTAGTAATTGGTCCATTTTCTGTTACTGTGAGCTAAGAACGACATCACACGGTTGTTTAACACGAAGTTTTTCGGCTTGCTGAGGCCCTCAGTAGTGAGGTCATGTAAGCTAGAGCAATTCTAATGAAGAAGCTGTGAGCATGTATGCAGTTCGGACCCACTAAAGCCGCACGCTGACAATGACATGTGGCATAGATGTCTGGCATGCGCGATCACATTGCCGCTGAAATGTTATGGCCGGTCACGCGGCTTTCCAATGTTAGACAGCTGGTTCGGATCCATGAACTGCTAGCTTGCGCCCGCTATTAGCCTGGGTCCCCCAGGGGTCAATTCAAGACTTCCAACTCTTCGGACGAAGTTGTCCTATCTGTAAACGATGCACTCCATTGACATGTCAATGGCGCGTTGTGACGCTCACTTTTCCATACCCCGAAATTTCCTACAAAATCTTTCAATAGATGCAGAATCAGAAAACGAGTAGATAGCACGGTCTGAATGAGGGGTGCAGAGCAGGCGACAAGTGGTTGTTTCAAATTGATTCGCGCGCAATTTCGTCGCGCGCGGCACGCAGCTGGTACAATTGATACATGCCCCTAAACAGTGGTAAATGGCCCTTTTTCTGCTGCCATGCGGCGGGAAAAAATCAATCAATTGTTCAGTTGAAGATTTGCTCAAGTTGTTTATGATCATCAAAACAAAATTTTCATTTTTCAGCCCGAAGATGGCGAACCGCAAACCATCCATCCGAACAAAGAGCAGCTGAGCAGGCGGTATGCAATAGTTCCAGAACAAGTGAGTGACCTGTTGATGAATTTCTCAATTCCTTTCATTCTTTTTTCCTTTACTTTATACTTCTAATTTTTATTGTCAAGTGTTTTTGCTAAAATGATCTTATTACAGCCCCATCAACACGAGGAAAGGTATGTGTAGGTCACTGTGTTGCGTAGTTGTAGTAGTTCCTTAGAATGCTTCGTTTAGGAGATTATGTTGCCTGTGTAGTCCTCTCTGAACACCTCCCGCATCTTTCTTGAATCCCTTTTTCAGCTCACATGAAGGTTGCTGCTCCTCAGACAACGTGATCATCGTCCCACATGTTCAGATCTCTCCCAATGAGTCGCACTTGTTCAATAGAGCCATTAGTTCTGGTGGTGGACTCCTTGCAGGTAAGCATCCCTACACTTGTATTTTTTACTTATTTCGTTTAAAAACATACACCTTACAGGTAAAGTCCCTCCCTTCTCCAAGTACCCCAGTCGCAGAGGTTTTACAGTCTTGCTCGCTGCGGATGATGGGCGTGTCAGGGGGCGGAGCACGGCGCCGTGCGTCCTCCACCAATTGTTGAAACAAGCAAGCGACAGCAGTTCGTAGAAAACGGGTTGGCACCGGCCACCGAACCTCCTTATACCTTCTAGTATCCGCAGCGAACAAGACTGTGGTAGGGCTTCTTTAGGCTTCGAAAGTGAGATTAACAGGGGCGCTGAATGGGACCAGGGGGACCCAGAGATGATTGTGTCTCATCTTGCTTTTTTGTTCTCTCATCATTCCTGCCAGCACACTCACCCGCGCTCCCAATGTCTTACCATCTCGCGATTCTTCTCGTACTTATGAAATGCTCAGACGTATTTTTTAGAAAAATTATTCAACTTATTCAAGACGCTTTTAATGGTTTTAACTGCTGGCTGGCTCCTCAACCGCCAAAGTCGCCTATGCACTTACGAATTCCTCACTTGACCCCATTTCGCAATGACTTTGCAACAGCGGAGTGTGTCTTTAAGTCTGTCTCGAAGTTATTATCGTGCAGGCAAATTTTTTTTTCAACCGGTTTTACCATTTCTATTTGTTTTCTTGGTATCACTGTTGCCTTTCCTTCGATGTCATTAAGCTGTTTTCGAATGTTCACCTCAATTTACATGTGACAGTGAACAGGTTTTAGGGTTGTTGATGGGCGCGTAGACCACTGCTGAGGAAAATAATTCGAATTTATTTATAGACGACAGTTAAAGATAGAAATCAATAGACAATATTTGTTGCGAAAGTCCGTAACTAAGAAGTAAAGATCAGCTGGTCGGTGTATATATTTGAAGGGTATGTGGCAAGAGAATCGTAATTCGCCGCGTCAGTATACGTCGCATGCGACGTCGGCGCCTGCTAATGGACGACGATTTTGGGTGGTGTAGGTGGAGAAAAGACTACTATGACCAAAATAGACCTAAGTGTCTACCATGTCCTTGTCTGCACGAGATCCGATGCTCCAATCGAAAGGTGGTGCAAATTATAGAAAGGCCGCGCCAATTGCCGCGCGACGAAACGGCAATTCACGATTCTCGTTGCCCGTATTTGGAATCACAGTGATAGTCTGTACAACCTAGGCCCATCGTGGTGATGTGGGAACCTTCCCTCAGGTGGTCCCGATACCTACTTCTTCGATGTTACCCCAGAACATCTCAGGGAGCTGGAGACTGAAGAGAAAAAAATTAACGGTTAAAAAGACCTTCTCAAGACAGTAAAACAAAAAAGCAAACAAAAAAAATAAAAAAAAAAAAAAAAAAAAAATTTTCTCGCATAGCGCTGAAAGGAGCGAAATCATTCTTGAAAGCCATTGAGTATTGGCCAAATACTATCCCTCTCCCGGCGACCAGATACGCCCCCCACCATTTGCAGGGGCGAATACTGCGCTGTACCTGAAACTGAAAAAATTAACGGTTAATAAAGAGATCAAGGCGCAGAATTATCCTATCGGTGGAGATGCTGCTGTAGTGAAATATGTTGGAAATTCAAGAAAGTTTACGAGCTGTTTCTGATATTCCTTTCAGCTCCTTCTTATCGTTGAACAGAAACATAGACGGGTTGGCGCAGTTGGGCTTGGTGGGGGCGTTTTGCTGGTCTCCGTCGATCACGGTCTATATCTACTCGTGGTCACCTGTAACCATGTATTCCTGTATTCCTGTGAAGATATGCATTAGCAGGAATTTTTTAGCAACTTGACGAGAATTTACAGGTCCAGTGTGACAAATGTCTGATCATGTCACATTATGATATCTCATTAATGGTGTGACGATGTGCTCTGACAGGAACAAGCGAAAAATGCCCTCCCAAACCGGACAGCGAGTGGCAAACTCTCAACACTGCCCAGTTCCGTTTTGGTGCGAAATCTGAAGAAAAAGTCGTAGGAGACAGCAGTCATTAAGCATTCCTGCCGTGGGTACTACACAAAAGGGCTCATTTTAGGGGGTCAGACTTCCTCTAGGGACAAATTCTCAACCGAATTGAGATTCTCAATTGAATTACGAAAAAGTGGTGGGGCAGTGTCAGGTGAATAATTCACCACCTGAATTATTATCGTCATAGCGCTAAGTTTGTCCTAGAATTAAATAATGAAGTGATTCGCCTTGGTCAGTCTTTATGGTGTGCGCCATGTGTTCGACTTTTGCTCAGAGTCACAGAGGCATTCCTATGGGTATTTAGCCCTTACAATCACCTTTAAAGGTTTATTTGGTATTCAAAATTCGTGTCTGTCCTCTCCCACAAACCTGGCAGCGCAACTTGTTGACATGCTGCTTTAGTGCAGTGGCGTGAAGGAAGTCGCCTCAAAAACTAATGGCATTCGAGATTAGGCTTCCTACCTAAGTCTCTAATCTCAGTCAGTGTTTCTGTCATTGTTTTGCTGCAATAATTGCTCGAATAATAGTAGTTTCTTTTCTGAATACTAGTCAATTACCTCGGCGTCCTTTAAAACCAGTGCGAGATATACAACTCTTGAGATGCGGGTTATGAGTTTTTAACGTTCTTTGTTGCACGTTTGCATGACTTTTTGTAACATGGTTTTTTTTCGTGATGTCATTTAATTCTGCTGGGAGAAATAACAGTCTGCCCACCTATGGGTGGGCAGGTAGCTAGACGCACGTAATGTAATTTTTGGTCTCCTTTGTAAACAAAGATATAGTATCATTGGTCTATTTTGGTTTTGTTTGGTTCCCGAGGAGAACGGTCAAACAATCGAGTAATTTGTCCGCGCGGCGATGAGCGCGGCGTTTTTTTTTAAGTTGCATTGCTGCTGTCGGAGCAAAGATTTCCATGTAGACGACGATATCGTAGGCAGTCATGTCTTTTTTTGGTTATGCACTGTCTACTGTAGCCAGCCACGACCTTAAAAGGTTGTCGTTTGCGATCGCGACGTCGCTTGCGACACCCCCAGAGCGGTGAATTACGATTGTCTTGTCACATAGGCCGGGGAACCACCCGGTAAGGGTGAATTGCCCTTTCTTTCTGGAAGAAGTCTTGATCAAATGAATGGCCACAGAGGCACTGGTGGGCTCAGGGGGTGGGAAAAGTTCGTTGGCAAAAAAGGGTTCGCTATCTCTAACACCCTATGCAATAGCTTCTAACCTCTTGGCAGGGTACAGTCAGCACTACGAGGAAAGCTATCACAAGATTCTGGGTTGGGGAAGCCTTGACTTCAGGCAGGATTCAAAGCTGCATCTCATGCTTTCCGGGCGAGTGCGCTCAATTCACTTCCAGCCGGCGGCCAGCTCTCCCCCCCCCCAGCCAATGACGCTTAGTGGCACACCATTTGCAGCACTCGCACATTCGACATGATGAGCTTATAGGCCAATATCGGCAGTGAAGTGCGAGATAGTGGAGGACAGTTTCTTCACTGGGGATAGTCCTCCATTCACAGCACTCCATATTCATCTCTGGTAAGACACTTAGCCCGATGAGTGTTGCCCAGAAGGACACGGTGGGCACATTTTGGAAACGCCTAGCGCGAATCGTATTTGTTCGCCTGGAAGGAGGGAGAAGACGGGGTTAAGAATAAGGTTTTCGTCGGCTGCTGAATTTTCTCGGCTTTTTCCCTTTACATGTTGCTGTTACTCCCTGCCCATCCCAGCATTTCGACATCGGGTTTCTAGCCATTGGGGGAAAATACTGTAGAATGGAAAAAAACGGAAAAGGGTAGGAAGTTGGGGAAATTGAGGAGGGTAGGTCGTTAGGTGGGAGGGGAGCGAGGGAGGAGCAGGGCGTATTTGTGAAAATTCCATTTCCGGTAGGACGTGCCTGTCCCGTGACGATGCTCTGCAGCATCTGTGGTGCCCTAAGTAACATCTACTGCTTGCTTGATTCTTTTATCTAAAATGTCACAATATCATGGCATTTACAAGAAGGTAGAAGGAATGGGCTTAAAACCCTTAGTCGTCTTGGCAACGCGCCTGTTGTCGCACGGAATTTACAGCCAATACCTCCTTTTTTTCTCTTGAATCTTACATTATCTTTTTTATCACGGCTCGTCCTCTATTGGTATCATTTGCTTCAAGGGGCTGAAATTTAGCATGTTTCACTCGCCCTCCCCTCTTACCAAAGCGATATCTGAAGACATATATTTTGTTGTGTTTCTGAATTTCATTTCCAGACTTGCAACGGGCAACCATTTCGGCCCAAGCCTTCTATGCAGAAAATAAGGAGCCGCCAAAGACTAGGTCACCGTGGATTTTGAAGAGATTGGTGAGTTTTTTACCTAATTAGTTACTTCAGCTACTCCCTAGGCACGTCGTACGTTAGGGTTCCAAGGGGTCTTATGAGCTAGAGGGAGGTGAGAGGGGGGGATGATTGTATTTACCTTTGAGAAATGATGTTCTCAGTTGTTTTCTCCGTTTTTTCCTGTTCGAGCATGCTTTATATTCTTCTCCTTAATGTTCCACCTCCGAGAGGTTGCAGTGTTTTCGAGAGAAAAAAAAACTCCGGAAAAGTGATGGGAAGTTGGGAGAAATGAGGAAACTTTAGGGGAATGGTAGGCAGGATATGGTATTGGGAAAGACGGAGTCGTATTTAGCGAAATTTTCCCCCCAGCGCCATGCCATGATTTCAATCAAATCTGCTCTGATTCCAGTACGAGTGGTCGAATCGAGCGAAAAGGCGTGAGATCATTAAGCACGTACAGGCCGCCCTGGAGACGTCAGTAGACCATGAATTGGAGGATGACGAGCTCGAAAAGTTACTGGTAAGTTTAAGAGTTGAGGTAGCTTTCTTCAGGAGAAAACCTGCTCATAATTGTTATATTTTAGCCGGTATCCTGGGAAGAAATGTTTGAGGGCCCGCTCATGGAGCTACCTTCTCAGGTACGATCGGGCATCTAGAGTTCACTCAATCGTTAAACTTGCACCTTACCAAATGGACTCTGTGAACGGTAAAAATGTGAGAGGCACAGCCCACGCTCGCCATGTGGGCGGGGTCAGACCTTCCATTCTACTTTCCTCAGTACTGTGCCACTCCCTCAGTACTGTGCCACTCCACTCTCGTACGCGAAGGAGGACGAGCCCATTAACGAGGGAAGCTTATGCTTATGCTTGCCCACACGACCAGTATGGAAAGTGCGAATATCGGAGCCACAGTCCACGCTTACCATATGGGCGGCGTCAGTCTTTCCATTGTGCCTTCCTCATTGGCTACTTCCTTGTTTATGAAAAGGGAAGAAGCCCATCAATGAATAATGCGAAATGGGTTCTGATTACGCCCAGATAGCAAGCTGCGGAACGCGAAACTTTAAAAGCATAGTCCAGGCTCATAAAACGGGCTAAATAAGACCTATCATTGTGCCTTTCTCATTGAAGTGCGCTGCTTTCCAATACAGGAAAGGGAAGGAGCCCGCCAATGGGAAAGGCACAATGGTATGCTCGATTCCGCCCCCACTAAGAAGCAGTGAAATGTGAAAAAGTCAGAGACCCAGGCTCATCGGGCTTATCATGGGGGTGGACTCAGTCCTAACATTTGTAATTTCCTCATTAGCGAGATCACCCCCTTTCCCGCAGTAGAAGAGGCGCATCACCAATGAGGAAGGCGCATTGGTAAGATTCACTCCGCCCATATAAGCAAGCGTGGACTTCTGCCTTAAATAATTTTGGTTCTCATAGAGTCCATTCGATTCAACGGGAATACCCCCTCCCTTATTCCTCCACTTTTTGCTTAGAGTGATACTTTCTTTTCATTTTTGGTTCGTTAATAACATAAATTGCTATTATTCAGAAGCTAAAGTACCTACAAGCCGTATGGGAGTTGTTTCACTCAGAGTTAAACTTCCTCCACCACCAACTACTTGTATTACGGTAAGAATGCCTTCAAATCCCTCCCGAATCTTCCTGAATACGCCCTTTCAGGAACGTCTACAAAGAGCCCCTCAAGAAATGCCAAGTAGAAGGCTGTCTTCTGACGGTTGAACCCGATCTCCTATTTGGGAATCTCGACCAATTATGTCGGATCTCCCGTGGATTCTGCCAGACGTTCCTCAGCCTTCTGCCGGCAGTAAATCGCGAAGGAACAGATTACGATTGTACAGATCTAGTAGTGAAGCTCTTCGAAAAGGTAAGCCTTTTTTCGAGTTCCGGTCCTAGATGCTGGGAGAGGGCGCTTTTGGTTCTCAGCAGCCAAGCCATGAGTGCTGTTTTATTCAAATATTCCATGAAGTTCGGGAAATGATTTTTATAAGAGATCCTTTGTGCAATATTGGATCGCCCTTCCACTGGAGCGTTAATCATTAGCACGATGTCCGAAATCTAGAACCACAAAGAGACGAAACAACGTGACCATTTCGCTTCGCCGCTTCATTCCATTGTTCAAATTCAACACTCCCGCACTCAATCATGCATTTTTGAGGATGCTCGTAAAGCCGCTAACACGTGCGGTGAAGGCTTCAGGGCTACCTGGGGATCCTAAAAACCAAGGTTGGACTTAAAGAGACTTTATAGAGCTAGGAGGTACGGTGAGGGTACGCTGAGGTGGTCTTCGTTTCCTATCGTGGTTCAAAACATAGGCGGGCGTGATGCAGGAGCGAGTGACACCGTTTTATCCGTTCGAGGGTCAAATCTGAGACCGGCTGTCGCCTAGGCTAAGCAGACCTTCCTCCGTGTGTGTCGGTTAAATAGCCAATTACGGTCTGGGAGGATGAAAACACCTGTTTACTGCTGACTTGTACACAGCTGACCTGCACAAGTCGTTGTATCGCCCAGAATCCCCTTCAAATTTCTTTACGAGTTTGATTGGAGGGAAAGGGAGACGGGCAATAGAATCGTAAATTGCCGCTTCGTCGCGCGCGGCCGCGACGTTTCCTTAATTTGCACCAAAGCGTTATCGATTCGAGCATCGGATTTCATATAGACAAGCACTTGGTTGTCATTCTCGACCAATACCACCTAAAATCGTCGTCATTAGCGGGCGCGACGTCGCACGCGACGCCCACTGGCGCGGCGAATTACGATTCTCTTGCCACATACCCCCGGAAGTAAAAACGCATGTCGCATTCCAAAAAGGCGACCATCGCCATGGACCTTTTGTCCTCCAGATTATTAATGATTTGGGGTAATTTTTAATTGTTTTGAAATTAAATTAAATTACTAATAAAAAATGATATTGCTTTTTTCCAGTTTTCTAAAGGTCCTTCAACGATTTCTGCATATCAAGCATATTGTATCAATTACAAGGCCACAATGGAGTATCTAGGTTCAATTCGACAAAAGGAAGAACGCTTTACGGAATTCGAGCGGGTCAGTTTGATCCACGCAGCTCAGGTTTCTTTCTTTTCTGGTATGGTTTTGGTACGGGGCAGTACCATGAAATATTCACCGGAAGGGTTAAAAATCATCCCTGAACTCATGAAAATTCAACCGTTTCTGCTCATTGTCAGCATAGAAAGCCTTTTGCAGGGAGCCGTGATGCTCACTTGCTAACCCAAAAGGTTTCTTGAATTAGCTGCACTAAGTATATGCAAGCGCATTTCGGCTCGGGGGGGGGGGGATGGGGCGGAGAAGGGGAGTGTCGAGCCATCGAGCAGAGGTGTGTGGAATCTTGTGAAGCCATGGAAAGGTGCCAGTTGAATATTGTAGGGGAGTCACTTGTCAAACCTTGTGAAGAATACCTGATAACTGTCGTACTGCAAGCCCATCTGGCGCACTTGCGCTTGGGGAGGGTGGGGAGGAGGGGTGAAATTTTCGAAGGTTCGTTACTTCCAACTCGTTCCATTGCAAAGGATCGCAGGGATTCACCACAAGTTTTCACGACTGCTCACTACAAACTTCAACTGGTATTCATAGCTTCATAAGTTTCCACGGATCTACTGGCACGTGCAAAATGCCCCCCCCCCCGACGCAAATTGGCGTGCAAATATTCCCGTCCTCACGGTTTTCTCCTCGACCGTAGTATTCTCACAGAGAGAAAAGAGCAAAAACTTCCGATGGATCTTACTACTATCCGAAACCGAGAAACTCAACGCTTTCCAAATGAGTCGACCATCCTTTTATGGTCCACTAGATGGTGCAGTCGTCATTCCAGAAGAGAGGAAGTTTGACGGAGCATGAACTGGAGCACAGCCAAGGCGGTCTTCTACAAAAGTAGGTGCCATCCTCAGCTTGCCCGTGGAAAAGGGTGCCCTAGGTGTGCTCCAATCCACGCCCTTTTACACGCCCTCTCGTTTGTAGGGATGACGACCCTATTTCCTGTGAAGAAAGGGGGACACCGTATCAGTCTTCGATAATTGTTCGTTGGAGAAAGTATGCATTAAAGAGTAGAAAGAAGCTGAATGCTTGGCGTAATTCGCATCATATTTTTTGCTGTTTTCTTGTTTTCACTTTTGAATCTGTGAAGAAACGTTTAGAAACTCAAAAGCACTTCAGTATTGAGCTTTTCTTTTCCAGATATGCTTAGCCGACGAGCGATGCTTCCGATTACAACTGGAAGATCTACTTATCGCACCGTTGCAAAGGTACATAGTCTTACCCCTTGTCTTCACCCCTCACCCCCTTCCCTATTACGACATTTCAGATCATTTCAGACCGAAAACTTCAGGAGAGGGGTAGTCCTTGAAAGCAAATTCCGTGAAAACTGAGCGGAGAGATAGGCGGAGTCTTACAACTACTGCACCAACCTATTGGTACAGTCTTGTCTGCTGCGTATGCTGGGGCGTTTCGGGAGGGCTGGGTTTGGCATGGTGCCAGCTCTTCCTCCACCAGCTGTGCAAGGTGGCAGGCAACCACAGTTGCTGGAAAACTGGCGACCTCAAATCCGACCTCTGTCTTGCACCAGCATCCGCATCGAAGAAGACTGTACGCCCCTCCTTACGCGGTGGCAAGAAAGACCCCGCCAAGGAGTATGGGGCAAAAGCTGCAAGTCTGCGCTCGTTCCATCGCCCATAAAACATTGTAGACATGCCTTCTAAAGGTAGGATCGAGTATGCACGTGCTTTTCTCAGTCTACCATTTGACATGGGAACAGAGACGGGTCCTGGTTTTCTTTTTGCTTTGATGCGGTGTGATCCTGGTATAGATATACCAGTTTTGAGGGGGCAGCGGGCGTCTAAAGCACAGTTTGCTCAAAAACTCATTCATAACTATTTCAGAATAACGCGATTGCCAATTTTGCTCCGTGAAATATATAAGTACACGGAAGCTCCAGAGAATAAGGCGAAAGTCGAGAAAGTGATCGATTCCATGACTGAAAGCCTTCGTGAGTTTCCTGCTTTGAATATAGGATGAGCGGTAGTTCTTACTGGAAAGTTTCAGGGTCCATCGACGACAGCGTCCAATGGTTGCACAACTTCGAACGTTTGCAACAACTTCAAACTCAGGTTATCTGGCCATCAATTACTGAGTTGGAACCGCGGGCATTCGTGCCAGACGTAAGTCTCTTCTCACTAAGGGATCGTATCTGAAAAAAGAACAACACTGTTCAAAAACAGTGAAAAAAATATATTAGAGTGAAAATGAGAACGCAAGACAGACCCTGCCTAAATTGCATGGATTACAAATGCAAATGGTCGTTAGGAATCAACTTTCGCGTATCGCTAACGCAAGGGTAGCGTACGTGCCGTGGCATTCCGGCAGGAGCAGGATTTAATATGTTTGCAGACGAACTGTGAACTCACCTCCTAAATCCTTGCCCCTGTGGGAGGTGAATAGGTCCGCAGCCTTCGGTAACATGCCACTTTTTCTCCTTAAAACAGCACGGGGTGAGGCTGAAGCCAGGTAATACCCCGGCCCGACTCCATAACTCTCGCTTGCGGACTGGGCCGAGCCCGCGAGCCAGCCACCGCTAAATCGTAGCCAAATAACGCTTAATCATAGCCGAACGCGCTACTTGTCTGCGCTCTCTCACTTCTGGTTGTTCTCTAGCGCTGAGTGTGTGTTCCGCTGCGGGACCTTGGTATCGACGCAGTGCTGCACCTTGAGGATAGGGAGGGAGAGTTCGAGCCAGCACAACTCTCAAGCCCAGTTTCCATGCAACTTTGAGCGAAAAAAGTGGCGCGCTATTGCACCGTTGCCCGTTCACCTCGCGCATAGAAACCACCTCCTTGGAGGTTGTACGGTGTGTCTTTAACGTCGAGCTGCTAGTAGTAGCAATGGGTCGAGTTGACCTACATGGAACTACTAGCTAGTTCTGTTCCATCGCCGGAACAAGGGTCTCTCTGGCACTCGTGAGTCACACTAAGTATGATGGGAGACCCTGAGCGAACCCTGGTCTTTCATAGTCGGCGGTGCTAATTCCAAGCAGCCGAGTTCACGCCGGTGAAGGTGGTCAGGCCTAGCACTCTGTAAGAAACACGCTATCGTGGGCCTGACTCCTCCTATATAATCGTGGACTTTGAGGAGACTAACGCATCATAAATAGTCATTTTTCTTGTATTTATATCACCATTTTTCAGTTCCTCAAAGTGGCTCTTTCTCGACAGTTCTGCGAAAACCTCCTAGCTCATCCAAGGAGGAAACTTATCCATGAGGGACCACTCGAATTAGTCGGTAAGCGGTTCGTTCTCTCGATTGGTCTGAAGGTTTTACTGTACCAAGAAGAGAACGTCCTGTTTCAGAGAACGGTCGAACAGTGGATTGCTACGCATTCCTTTTCAACGACATGTTCGTTCTGTCAAAGCCGAAGAAATGTGCCACCAAATTACGAGTGGTAGGTGTTTTTCGCGATTTTTCTAGATAAGACCAGATTTTGACAAAAATTCCCAAAAGCCGTTAAGCTGGGAATGTAAGCGGTGGT